GGCAAAGGCGTGACCATGACACTTACTCAGAGGCTTGAGCCTCGAATTAGTCACCCAGACGCAGGGTAGGTGCGAAAACGCCTCGGGTGGCACAAATGGAGTGGTAGGGGTCGATTGAAATACATGTACCAGGGAGATGGCAGACGGATTCGACGGGCCAAGAGGGAGACTTTGATAGGACCCAGGGAAGGACTAAGTAACAATATGACAGACTGGTCAATATTCCTAGCACAAGGGTGAAGGGGGTGATAACGACAGTGTGCAGTGTGAAGGGTTTTCATGAATGCCACTCGAAGGAGCACACCACAATACATTAAAAATAAGCACAGTAAAAATGGTGACAGGGAAGGCATGATAGGATATATGAAATATGAATATGCCAGGGCAGAATGGGAGATAACATAACTGTTTAGCACACGTTTGGTCAAAGGATCGACTTTACTTGTCTCTTTGACGAGTTGTAATATGCTGCTACGAATGGTAAAACTCACTGACGATGCCGGTGAAACGTCTGGGAATGTACCACGTCTACGGTCCGACTTTGAAAATAATTATGCATACAATGGACTCAGAACAAGGTGCGTCGCTCTAAGTCTTCCTGCGAAAACAAGGTCAAACAACTTCAATGCTACAGACACTTGTCAAAAATAACTAATAGCAAATTTCAGTATCTTTCCTGTCTAAAAGCAATAGGAAAGCAAGCATCAGGCTAACAAAAAATTGAATTTATATAAACATTCAGATTCATATAAATGCGAAAAAATTCTTGGGATTAATAGGTAATTATGTATAATTATAAAGCAATTAATATATATCAAATATCAGCACAATTGGGAAATTCTAATAAATAAATGAATGAAATGCATTCAATAAGTAAATGAATAATAAAGCAACAAACCTTTATTCCCTCTTCGTCGTTCACACGACGAATCATCTGAACGCAAATCTCAGCGATCCTCTGAAAGTCTGGTTGCTCAATACAAATATCACGAAGGATGCGAATTACTCGCTTGCGCACCGAAACTCCCTTATCACGGATCCTTTCAGCAAGCATCGGATAGTACTGAGCTGTAAGCTCAGGACGACAGCCAAGAAATCGCCCAACCAGGTCGACAGCTGCCTCACGCACAGAAGTTGATGTGTCTAGTAGACGTGAGTGCACAGCGCGCTCTATGTCTGCTCGTGCTAGCACTCCGGGATCGGCCTCCACTACAGCAGAGAGACAGCGCAG